CGTAAGCAAGCCCCAAGCCCTTGGCTCAAGCGAGCTCGCACGACGCCTTGTCCGTGGTCACTAGCGTCAATCCACGCACCGACGCAACGATACCATGACCGCCACCATCGACCATCTTACCCACGAGGAGAGCACGAGAACTTCCCGTGAGAAAAACCCGGAGCAAGCCTGAACTCACCTACCCGAAGCACAAGCTCTGATCTGCCTCGCCCCCCTATCTGATCCGCCCAAGCACAAACCCAAGATCTGGACCTTCCCCATGGCGCATGCGGCCGGCACCACCGGCACCCGCCCAACCCCGCGCACTATCGGTACAAACCCCGAAGAAGGTGGCCACCGCTACCACCCTGCCCTGCCTGCTGAACCGTGTGCCGCGTGCCGGTGCACCAACAACGTCGTCAACTCCTGCACAGACCCGCTCCACCCTGTGACCCCACCATGGATCCGGTCGACCCCGAGCTAGGTAGAGTCCCAGCCAAGCGTCGCCACCACAGACAGGAGCACCCGCACCAGCCCTCCCCACCATTTTACAAACACGCTAAACACTGGCACCGACGTCCTCCTCCTCATCTCGGACTTGGCAAAGGTGAGATAGGGCGCGTTGCTCGCGCGCGTTGGCCCTTTCCATGCCAGCGTAGTCCACCGAAGCTTCGACTTCTAAGCGGGAAATTCACTTGACGAGCTGGTAGTAAAATTTGGCGTCGTGAACGCGTGCATGCCCGACAGCCTCTAAGGCTATTTGCCGGGCGCCGGCCTCCATGTAGTCGGCCCAGTTGCGGGTGCTCTGCTCGCGATTCAAAGCGTCGGTGCACTGCTGCTCCATGCGCCGCTGGCGGCGCAAATCAGTGATACGTTGCTCTTCTGCCAAGCGGTCGCGCTCCAACAAATCCTCATACTCTGCATTGCCGTCTAAAGACCGATAGAATCCTCCTCCCTCCGCCTGCCTTCCGGTGAAAAACCGAACACTACTTCCGGCGGTGACCGCCTCCGGCATCGCCTATTGCAGACGGGCGGGGGCATGGCGGACGTGGCGAGAGCGAGGGGAAGTGGCGAGCAACGTCGGGCCCGTGGGAGCTTATGAGGACAGGGCGAGTTGGGTGATGGTGCCACCGGAGAACGCCGAGAACCTGTAATTATAGGCGGAAGGTAGGTGAACCAGCATGTTGCGGGAAACGCGATGGTCATCACAGTTATCGGAATTCAATGCATAAGCAGGCATGGCTTAGCACGCCAGCTTGCCGTGGAAAACTAGAAAAACTGAAATTATGACTATGTCGTCCCATCCCGTCAGTGGCGCGTCCCGTCCGTGTTGGGTCGCACATCGGCATGACGGTCAAATGAGTGCACCCGATTCATCTAGATGAGGTACTTGCGTGATCCGCTGGTTATTCGCGTAGGATCGAGTCGGTCGGATAGTGTACGTGTAGGATCACAATAGCTGATAAACGTTCGCTGAGAGATAAGGCATTTGCGAACATTTTTGTTGGCAGTTTCTTCATATTCCAATGGCATTTTCTTCAGAACAACATGTCAATTTCTTCAGAGGTAGGCATTTTTTATTCAAAAAACTGCCACCTTTGTATCTTGCATCGCAACTAAAACTGCCAGGAGCATATTAGTAGGTTAGCTAGTGATCGATCACTGACTTGTAAACACTGAGTGGACAGAAATAAGGAACTGCTAGTAACTTGTAAACACTGAGCACACAGAAATAAGGATCATGTTGCGTATAGTAGTAAGAGCCGATCCGCCCGAAATGTTCACACGAGACTCACATGCCTGGCTTTGTAATAAGTTCCTATTAATAGCCCAAATTCACAACCAACTAGTATGATTCCCATACATAAGATCAACATGTTAATGCATCTCAATGATTCACATATCATATACAATATGTAGCTCCTAAAGCAAAGATCAAGAAAAAATATCTAGTCTTGCTACTAACATGGATGCTTCTCTGGGCCAACATTCAGTATAGAGTGAAATACAAATTTGATTGCGAAATCTACATTTCCACTTGCAAACGTAAGTGGTTTCACCAAAAGATGTAACCATGAGAGTGAACCACACATGATGGAGGAACATCCAATATGAGTTGGTCATGTGTCGATCACATGGCGAGACTATTTTCGGAATACAACTTTAACTTTGGCAAAATGATGCCCATTGGATAATCATAAGAAAGCAATGAAGCATCTAGTGTTGGCCAATAAATAGTACAATACTACTTTTGTGCAGTCTATGAAGTGACTATCCAATCTTTCTGTGTCTATTTTCAAATGGCACTGCATGCAGTGCGTATACTATTTTCTTGTGCATTTCCACAAAAATTGAGGCCACTTTGTTTGTTCGCCAAATAGCAACGATCAGACATCTGTTTGCACAAATATCAACCAGCTAGTTAACATATACCCCACCTTGTATTTTCGGTTTAAACACGCCTGTGTTAGTCGTTTCCATTTAGCATTTATCATGTTTTGCACTGGACAATTTGGTACTAAACTGATTTGCTGGTACAGAGCAGAAATATAGCGCCTATTCTTCATCAGACCAAGGATATCCATGTTTGCAATGATGGAAGAGGTGAAATCCATACAACCGAAATTGAGCATCCAATCACTGAATCATGCCCCGCACCACCAATGTAGGTCCACCCTGCCAATAAATTTACATGCAAACCACTAATATTACTATCTAATGATAGTACAAAAAAGTAGCAAGATAGTAGCAAACCATGTACCTTGGTAATGAACAGCTCATAGTGCCACCAATCAGATATATCTGTTTGGAAGAAAAATGCTCATAATGTTGAACCATTTGGACTTATTGTGTAGTTCCACTAAAATCGAGCATCCCTATTTGCACAGATATTGAAAGTGTGATTACTATAAAAGTGACACTAGTTGAAGCATAGACTCACAAAATATAAGCATTCCGATTTCTTAATGGGAAAAGGTAGCAAGACTGTTTCTAAACACCTGTTTGAAGGAATAAATAAGGCAACATCGGCCGATGTCAGGAAGGCATACATAGTATTTTCTCAAAGATTGAACCATTCCCGACCTTTCCTCTTCTTTTAAGCATTTTCTGTGTAGCTCAACTAAAATAAAATGCCATCACCGCCTTGACAATTCGGTGACACTGTACAAAAAAAGACTTACCATTACATCATGATGCCAGGTATGTAATCGACAGGCAATAGAGACAAACATGCAGACCTCCTCCGGTAACATAATGAACATTAATTTTAACAAAGGTGTGACTAGCTTTGCCGGCATAATTTGAATGAACTCTACA